GCCCCAGGTTCTATGTAACCAGTGTTTGTGTTTTCAGGCTCAAAATCAAGGTGAGCCTCCCGTGGGCTGAGGGTGGGGCTGTCTGGCCATCATCCCAGGGACCCCGGGACAGGACGCTCTCTGGTTGTCAGCAGTCACCCGGTGAGGACACAGGAGACCCCTAGTCGGAGTCTCTGGTCGCGCGTTCGTGCCCTTGGGCGGCGCCCCCCACGAACCTGGCTGGTGGTGCGGCACCCGCTCCGTTTTCCTTCAGGTGACGGGGCTCCGAATTCGGAGCTGTTCACTGAGGCAGCTGAGGAAGTAGAGATGTTCTGTTAATCCGGATACACATTTCTGAGCACGTGTGAGACAGACAGAGAAGGAGAGGGACACGCAGCTGCAGATCGTTACAGGTGGTGGTTACTCGGCGGTGGAATTGACGAGTTTATTTAATGCACTTTTCTGTATTGTTTGAATTTTCCTCAAGTAAGATGTCATTTTTTTTTGGCAAAAAAAGATCCTTTTTTTTTTACATTTTTTATTGCGTTATAGTCATTTTACGATGCTGTGTCAAATTCCAGTGTAGAGCACAATTTTTCAGTTACACATGAACATACATACATTCATTGTCACATTTTTTTCTTTGTGAGCTATCATAAGATCGTGTATATATTTCCCTGTGCCATACAGTATAATCTTGTTTATCTATTCTACATTTTGAAATCCAAGTCTATCCCTTCCCACCCCCCACCCCCTTGACAACCACAAGTTTGTATTCTATGTCTATGAGTCTGTTTCTGTTTTGTATTTATGTTTTGTTTTTTTTAGATTCCACATATGAGTGATCTCATATGGTATTTTTCTTTCTCTTTCTGGCTTACTTCACTTAGAATGACATTCTCCAGGAGCATCCACATTGCTCCAAATGGCGTTATGTTGTCAGTTTTTATGGCTGAATAGTATTCCATTGTATAAACATACCACCTCTTCTTTATCCAGTCATCTGTTGATGTACATTTCCATGTCTTGGCTATTGTAAATAATGCTGCTATGAACATTGAGGTGCAGGTGTCATCCTGAAGTAGGGTTCCTTCTGGAACCAGCGGGATTCCTGGGTCATATGGTAAGTCTATTCCTAGTCTTTTGAGGAATCTCCATACTGTTTTCCACAGTGGCTGCACCAAACTGCATTCCCACCAGCAGTGTAGAAGGGTTCCCTTTTCCCCACAGCCTCTCCAGCATTTGTCATTTGTGGACTTTTGAATGATGGCCATTCTGAATGGTGTGAGG